TTTTTTGAATTTTCCCTTCGGGGCCATTGCGGGAAGGAATCCGGGTTGGGCCCCCCGGATTAGGCCCATTACCGGGGGAAGGGAGATAAGGTTGGGGGATTGATTTTCGGGCCGGGAGGGGGGATTGGGGGGTGTTGTAAGGGGGGCCCGGGGGGGAACTCCTTTTTTTTTGTTCCCCCAAAAGAACTTTGGGGGTTTTTTGGATGGGGTAGGGAAATACGGGGGGGAAGGGGGGTGCCCGAAATTGGGGAGGTTTGGCCCCCTTGGCCCTTGGCCCTTTCCCGGGGGGTTAAAGGGGTTGGGGGAAAAAAGGGGTGTTTTTTTTTTTTCGGGCACAAGTTTATTCAGAGGAACAAAATTTATCCCGGAACAAAAAACCGGAAATAAAACCATTATTGGTGGGGGGCCCCAAAAAATGGGGGGGGGGGGGGGGCGGAGGGAAAGAGGTATGTGTGTGTGTGTGTTTTGTTGTGTTGGCACGAGAACGACGACGCGATTCCAGGGTCCAGAACGCCGAAATCCAATATCCGTGCTGGGCGGACTCGAGCCAAAAGCTGTCAGAAAGTGGCAGGCGGTGGCAGAAATGGTTTACCGAGGGGGTCACATGGCAGTGAAATCTCACGATGGCGGGGCCCAATGGCTTCATCGCGGCGGTAACGGGACAGGCTCACGAGGTGCCTTTTGTGGGGCAGAGTAAGATGAAAATTGGTTTGTACCGCGTGCTTTCATTGTTGCTGAATACTATATAGGAACAGACTCGGTCCCCGCTGCCAAAGAAAATATTATCACCCATGTTTTCCACGACAACAACAACAACAACAACAACAACAAGCAAGAACACGCACCACCACAGACACGGCAAGATTCGAGGCAAAGGTTGGACATGTTTCTGGACAACAGCCAATGCTCTCATTCTATGTCTGCTCCTACCCCCTATTCACCAGGATCGCATCTACCTCTGCTAGAAATGAACGAATCGCTCCCAAATGCAACCCAGACCAGAAACGCTTTTTGCGACCTAAAGGCGGAAGTGATGAAAAAAAAATAACGCCGGACCAGAGTGGGGTCGCTCATTAAGAGAGCATTACAACATCGAACCATGGTCTGTTGAAAACGACAAGGACAAGCGAGGCATCTCCAAAACACCGTAATCGGAACCCATGGAACTCCCTTTCGAAGAAGCAAAGAAAAAAAAAGACATGCAACAAGGCCAACCGAGAAAATGCAGCAAGGAGCCATCCTAGGATATGCTGGAAACAAGACAACAGGGAAAAACAAACTTCATCAGTCCGGTTCACAACGTCTCGTACCGGATGAACAAGATTCGTGAGCGCTCGGCTCCTAGGAAACCAGGAACGTCCGCTCCACTCATCTCATCACTAGGTCGTAAGCGTACTTCGTGTCCAAGAAGATTCGTCGTGCAGATATCGTCATGCTCTGCAAGGTAACAAGAGTGTTCAAACGCACGCCTGGGGTGTGTGGTTACGCTCGTGAAACACACCACCAGACATACCATAGCCATACTGATACTGGGACCCAAAGTGATCCTCGGGCCCAGATCCAGTAATCGGCCCAGGTGAGGCAGAACGAGAGAGAAAGGGTGAGGTGCTTTGTGACGGCATGGCGTCATTGGCACCATCCACAAAGAGAGCCATGGCAGGCGAGGGAGGGCTGCTAGTGGCAGAGGACTGGTTGCTACCAGAACCGCTGTTCAGCACATCATCGGTAGCTCCATCGCCACGGGGTGGGTGCTGTACTGCCGGGGTAGTAGCAGTATTTGGAGAGATCTTCCCGGTAGGTGTGCCAAACTGAAATGCGCATTAGTATCCGTCTAGGCCAAGCTTCCCGTGGGGTGTTGAGGTGTAGAACGTACAAAGCAAAACTTCTGGATCAACTCGTTGTATTCCGCGGATTGAAGGTCAGGCTTCTCCATTGTCAGGGAGTCGGGACGAGTACCAGGAATCGGAGGAGCAGCAGCAGTCGCATTAGCCTGGGCCACGGCAGGACGGTCGAAGTAGCAGTTGCGCGTTGCATCGGCCATGTTCATCTTGAGTCCACTGCGGTCACCAAGGGCAGTTTGAGCGGTCGAGAGAGCGGCGGTAAGCGAGGCGCCAAAGTCGTAGCGGGCAGAGAAAGCCTGCCCGACTGGCGACTGCTTGGCCTGATCTGGGAAGATGCTACCACGCTTGCTCCTAGGCTTCAACTTGATGGACGTATTGGGTGAATCAGCAATGATGGCACGGCCGCCGCCAAAGTGGAACTGGCTGTCAAAGTCATGGCCAAAGTCGTCGTCAAACGAGGCAGCAGGCACAGACTTGGGACGGGCAGCCAGAGGCGAGTGGCGGCTTCGAGGGATCGCACCCAGACCACCGGTCGGGCGCTTGTTCTCTCGCTTCTTCGTAACCTTCTTAGTGAAATCGACCTGATAGTTCATCGAGTTGTTGTTGTCCCAAAACTCTTGGCCGCCAACCTGATACCGTACACAGAGCAGAAGGGTCTTCGACTCCAAGTTGGCCTGGTCAGCCAACTTGATGTTGAAATTGAAACGATCGTAGCCGTCTTCCTTTTGCTTCTTGCGCACATCGTGATTGAACTCGGCCACAACCTCAGACGTAGTCTTCCAGTAGTCAAGCGTGAAGCGAGCCACGACCAACTTTTGGAACGACAGATTGGCGCAGGCAATGTTGCCAACCAACGTCTGGTTATCCGAGGCGAGGAAGATGCGTTCAACACGGACCGGTGCGGTCTGACGCTCATACGTCTCGTGTACCGGGAAGTTGGCAAGCTTGATCTCCCACTCGGGCGTCTTGGATCGTGAGTCGTCACCAAAGGGATACTCCGTCTCGCTGTCATACGTCTCGACTGGAGAAGAGCCCGCACTGACAGCAATGGGTCGCTCAGAGTGCAGAAAGTGACGAACTTGCTCAATGTCCTCGTTGAAGTGTACCGCTTTCGAGTAAGTGGGTGTGCCCGGCATGCTCGAGGGCCTGCGTCGCGACGAAGGCCGGAGCGCAGGCTTGACAAGCTCACCAGATTTCTTGCGTAGTAGCGGAGGCTTGATCCGTAGTTCATCATCCTCGGCGTCAGACCCGTCTGAGGAGCTCATCACTGGGTCTGTGTTGAGCGGGTGAATCATGTGTTTGGACAGCATGATGTCGCTCGATGAACGAGAGTGTGAGATCTTGCGGGCCTCGGCTGAGAGTGAGCGGACGGCTGTCCTTGGCTGCTGGGGTGCGTCGTTGGGCGCTGACGATGCGACCTCTTCTCCACCGGGCGAAGGGCTACGCTTGACATTGATGTGCAACAGGGCATCCTGCAGCTCCTGGAGGTTACCCAGATTCCGACCTCGCTCTTCGTCGTCCGAGGAATCAGGAGGCGTCGTAATCGCACCTGCCGGAATCAGAAGATCGTTCAGAGGGGGAGGAGACTGGCGTATGCTACCATGGGTACGGCTACGGGTTGCAGGAGACACCGAGTCTACGCTGCCATTGGCCGTCTGACCATTGGCCGCTGTGTTGTCGACCGTGGAGAAGGAGGGAGAGCGTCGGTTCTTGCTGAGATAGGACGCAGACGAAACAGACCGGGGCAGTGCAGGCCGCTGGACCGCTGGAGAGGGTCGGGGCGCCTGGTCGATGTAGGAATGGTTGCGACTGAGGATAGGGCTGTTCGTCTTGGAGGTGGCTGGCGACCGCTGAGAAGGAGGCGTGTAAGGCATTCGGTCGGCTTCGCGGGGGAGGGGCAAAGAAGCAAGTCGAATGTGTGTGGTGGGTAGATTTAAGGTGTTGACTGCATTAGAACAGGTACTACGAAGAAACAAAAAAGGCGTGAGGTCTGGGGTGGATATTAGCAACCGTTTGGGTGGGGGGGAGGGGGTTGGAGGAGAGTGAGTGAGCGGGTCAAAGCGGGAGTTCTGTGCTAGGCGGTGGCAATGGTGTGCCTGCTAGCCGAGTGTGCAGAATTGACTCTTGGGGACACTGGGGGGGTGTGATTGGTGACTTACAATAAATATAGGTCAAGGAACGGCTTGCAAAGCTCGCTCTTGCGTGTGTGTGTGAAGAAGAACCAGAAAAGTTGCGACGGACGAGATCACAGCTAGTGAAAGCTGCAAAGTTGCCAGTGACGTCGAGGAATTGGCAAGACACCCCAGTGGTGGGTCGAGGGTGTGCGGTGGTGTGAGACCGAGGGATGGCTTCGGTGCGATGTCAGGAAGAAACTCTCTCGTATGATGCAGGCCAGGACCGAGGAAGAAGGAACCTTGGAGCGAGGCAGGCAGAGAGAGAGGATGGTGACGGATACGGGTGGGTTGAGGGTGACAAAAAAAAACCGAAAGCCAGTTGACGACGAGACCTGGGGCGGCGTATTAAAAGGGTTGTTTCTGGCGGGCAATGGCCTAGAAATTTGTGATGAGGAAGAGGGGGAGAGCGGGGGGGGGGGGGAAAGAGCAACAAAATCGTTGTGTTGCACTCGTTTTCAGGTCGAAATCGTTATACAATGACAGTTGTACTTTGCCGGAAAACGGCCTAAAGCTGAGAAAAAGAAATGCCCATTGAGGTATTTGCTTGTAACTAGGCATAGAGCTGCGGGATAGCGTTTGTGTAACGGTGACTGT